CACCCCAGCTAAGCGGGCAGAAGTCGGCCAAGTGCCATGGCGGGAGGCAAAGGGGGGCGGGCCAGGGCGGTGACGTACACGGCCAAGCCCCGTCCCCTGGCCATGTACGTCACCACCCCATCCCCATTCACCTCCTGCTGTGGTGCTTGGCTTACTTCTGCGCAGCTCAGCTGGTACACCGCAGGGGAGCAAGCAACGCAAGCAGTCTTTTGAGCCCTGCACTCCCCATACAGCACGGAGGTGCTGCATGGGAACCACGGTGCCCAAACAGCCACTTGCGCAGCTTGCTCCCTCATGGTGGCCCGGATGAGCGGAGCAGAAGTCAGCTGAGCGCCACAGTGGGAGGGGAAGGATGTGAGTGAGGCAACAGCTGGTACACCGCAGGGGAGCAAGCAACGCAAGCAGTCTTTTGAGCCCTGCACTCCCCATACAGCACGGAGGTGCTGCATGGGAACCACGGTGCCCAAACAGCCACTTGCGCAGCTTGCTCCCTCATGGTGGCCCGGATGAGCGGAGCAGAAGTCAGCTGAGCGCCACAGTGGGAGGGGAAGGATGTGAGTGAGGCAACAGCGCGGCCCAGAGGCAACAGCCAGCATTTCAGCATTACAGAGTCACAGATACATATACATATAATAAGGGGTCATGGAATGTGTAATCCATAGTCCTGGTTTTCATGGGGAATAAGGGTATTCCTGAACTTGTAGGTCAGAAACAACATTAATAGGGATACAAATTAGAAGTAATTGGCCTCTGGGACACCACCCACAGCTCCCCAGAGAGCATCCTGGGGCTCTGAGTATGAGGTAGCACATCCACATTAACAGAGCCTGCTTGGGGTACATTCAATTCCTCCCTGTGTGAGGACACAGATATTTTAAATTGTAAAGTCGGGTACCCAGAAGTCAAAATTAGTAAATTGGAAATAATCTCCGAATGCAGATATGGCCCTACAGAATTACAGCTTCACTGATGGGGATGTGTGGGGGATATAAAAACATTGTTGGCCAAAGTTGTCATCAGATTTTGTGTACCCAGTTCCCACAACTGGGGCCCATTTTCTAAAGTGTTAGCATGAAGCAGCAGCCAAAGGATACATGGAAAGAATTTGAAAGGGGCTCAGAACCCAACACGCAGGGGGTTCAACTGAAACCCGGGAGACTGAAAAGAAGTTTCTGAGGATCTCTCTGGGAACCCTGGAGGGGTTGTTAGTTCAAGGGGTGGGAAGGACTCTTCTACTATCTCTAATAAGGGTGGGGTGTTTGTCGGATGTCACTGATTGCAGCCTAGGAAGGATGGAAGCAGCATTGAACTACTGCATCCCCAACCAGAGATTTATGATAGACTAGACATGCTCTCTCAATGCTTGTTCAACAAAGCACAAGCTAGCAAGGTCTCAGCTCTGTGATGTACAAGGGAACCTGCAGCACAAGGAATCCTCCACCCATGGAAGTTTGCATATTACACCCTCGCCACATGTGGGACTCTCAGAGCTGACAACTGGGGAGTAATTCAGAAAACTCACCATTTTGTTTTTCAAGTTGCTCTGGGAAAGAATCACAGAGAAAAGAGAAAGAGAAAAATAAATAATGTCCATCTATGTTTTAGCCCGCTGTAGAGTGAGAATAGGAATCTTTAGCCCTTGATTAATACAAATTTTGATAATGTCTATTGTCCTTTGAGCAAGAAAGAGCCTTTGCCAGCTAGACATTCTACGGAATTGGTCACCTGCCCATTTTTCTCCACAGAAGACTATAAGAGACTTTATTTCCTAAACATATTTAACAATTTTGCGATAAATTTCATTGTCATGATTTCATGGAAAAGAAGTCAATAGGGCACAAATCTAACACTTCTAACATGGATGACAGCAATCGACAGAGTCATGCTATTATTTATTGAATGAACTGTGTTCTATATTCACTCACAATGTTCAGCCATTTAGATCTGTACATTTTCTTTACTGTGGTATCTAGTTGCTTGAGAATTACGTTTCCTACAGGAAAATTTGGGGTGTTCACTTAAAAATGCCAGAATATACAACAAAAGTACAAACATAATTGGCAGTGAAGCTAATATGACACTCTGTTCTCCTCTACCGTCATGTGACTTTTAAGAAAACAGCAGCATTACCATGACCGGCACATCACTTATGAAGGAGGATTTGGTTTGGAAATATAAAATAACTGGGGACATAAAGGAGCATCAGTTCTCAGATGCAGCTAACGTGTATATGTTATTCGACAAAGCAATCTGAGGAAACTGCTTCATCAAAATTGGGAAGGAAGAACAAGGTCAATCCTTTTTTTATTCTACAACTGTTCCACATAGTTTTAATTAAAAAACATATAAAAGGACATAGACTTACGAATTCTCTTCTGCAAGTTCCCTGAAAATGAAACAAAATGTTCATTAGTACAACTTCACTTTTTGTCAAAAAAAAAATGGCCAAGAATGAATGTACCCACTAGTGAAAATGCCAACAACACTATTGGATTTATTTGAGTAAATTTATGAGGAAACAGGTGAGACTTTGAACAAAATCAAATGTGAGGCCTGAAGGAACAACTCTTATCATCTATCACACAAGCCAGACTATTTTCCCAAAATAATGCCTGTCTGTGGTAGAGCCAATCTGTAAGAAACACATTCACTTTTGAGGGAGGGGTCAGGGTGGTAGTGGTATATAGCAGCAGCCAGTGGCACCATACCAATGGGCTCCCTGCCTGACCCTGATGGGAGCTGCTAGAAGAAAAACTTCCAACACTTGTGCTTCTGATGCACGTACACCTGATTGCTACAGATGCCAACAAACCCTCAAAGAAGAACTCTTTGGTCTTTAGTAAATGAGGACAAGGAACACAGAACAATTTTCACTGATTAAGTATTCCTTGATTTCCCGTCTGTCAGTACAGGACATATGGCTGAAGTCACATGCACATCATGGAGAACAGGATGGGCTAGTCATCCTGTGTATGAATCCCCCAGGTCAAACTTTTTCTCATGGCGACTCAGAGCAGGATAGAATCCTCAGCCTCTTTTCATTTCTGCCATTCTGAGGGGTCTGCAGTGAGCCGTGGAATATCTCCTCTACACACTGCTTTACAGATAACTATTAATTCTCAGCTCTGTAATGCACTGTGATGTACATGGTATCCTGTGGCACAAGAGATCCCCCAGCCATACAAGTGAAAATAAAACTTCTGAGCTCTATGTGGCATCATCAGAGCCCATGACTGGGGTGTAATTCAGAAAACTCACCATTTTCCTCTTGGAGTTTCTCTGAAAAA